GAACCTTAATTTCCTTTTTCACTACTATAGCTCAGTTAGCCTTCAGCATGCATTCATGATAAACGACCTAGAAGCATCTTGAAGTAGGATCTTTCTGGAATAATACAAAAGGATAAAGGCAAATTTGGCACTAGTTAGGTAAATAGTAGGAAACTTTTTAAAAAGTTATTTATTTATTTGAGAGAGAGGATGAGAAAGAGAGAGAGCATGAGAGGAGAGAGGTCAGAGGGAGAAGCAGACCCCTTGCCGAGCAGGGAGCCCGATGTGGGACTTGATCCTGGGACTCCAGGATCATGACCTGAGTCGAAAGCAGTTGCTTAAACAACTGAGCCACCCAGGTGCCCCAATAGTAGGAAACTTTAAACACAGCCACACACACAAATACTCCCAGCTACATCTGCACACCTGGGATGGGTCCCGTCCAGTACAGGAAACTTTTGAAGTACTTAGTAATTTCAGCAATGTCTGTAATAGTTGTGAAATAACAGATTGATAGCCATTTTCAGGATGCTTCTCCCGGGGAAACAAAAAAATTATTTTATGCTAAGGGATCAGGGAGAAAAGCTACTGGAAAGTGAGGCTGAGCCCAAGGGAGAGTCTGTGGAACATTCCCAAAAGACAAATCTGATGATCACAGCAGCCCACTGAACCTGGTTAACCAAGGACACCTCTCAGGTGGCAGGAATCCAGCTCATAGGGGCAGCCAAATGTCCTCAAAAAGCACCATGCTGGAGCCCCCATGCACTGTGGGAACCAGATATGGTAGTGGTGCCTCTCTGATGGTCCTCCTTGCCCAGGAAGGAGAAAGGGCTGCATCCAGCATCTGGATGTGGCTTCTATTTGTCTTCCCTCTTTTTTCACTTTCACAAGTCTTGGCACCATGCCTGACAATTTCACAAATTATCTAAGTGTGTAAGCCCCACCCCACCCATTTTATTTTAGGGCTTGGTCTTCCTTCCAGAAATAGATCTTCTCCCTGTAGTTCCCCATAAACTTGCCCTCATACCACGTGGTAGAGCTTGCCCCAACACTGGTCCATGGACCATCTCATCTGTGACAATATGAGGAAATTAAGAGCAAAAGCAGAAAACTTATGATTAAACTGAATATATTTAAGTTTAAGAATGATCATTTATTCTAATATGGTGATTGTGAATGTTATATTTTCTCACATGCCAATTATAGAAATACCCTCCTTTTTTTTTTCTAACTTGAATCAAATCTTTCCATGAGTCTCTGCTCATTAGAGTAGAAAGAAATGAAATCTCAATCCTGTTTTGGAGAGCTTCCTTCTTTCTCTGTAGTTACACAAAGACCTATGAGACTTACATAGTGCCTGGGAAATGGGAGTCAGAATCTGGGTCATGCAGAATGGTGATCAAGGTACCAGTGTGCTTTTAAACAATGAGATTGTACATTAAACAAGTTTTATTGTGTTGCTGATCTTGTGGGAAGGGAAATATCCAAGAGGCATGGTGAGTGGACAGGAAAGGTGGAGTTATCCTAAAAGGCAAATGACAATATTAACATCACATTTGGAAAATTAAATATAAAGCCAGGGACAACCTGAGATTTTGGTAAATTAGGGATCTGGGAAGGAGCTAATTTGGTCCCAAGTTGGTATCCTGGATCCTGACAGAAACAAAAGCAAATCCTCTCTGGAGGAAGGTATCCTCAATTTTCAGCCCCCCAGGTTGAAATCATCCATAGATGAGCTCACATTGTGAGATCACAAAATACAAAGGAACAAATCGCCATGAGGGACAGTCAACATAAACAACAGCGTATTTATATCTCCAGGGACTTTTGGTATTTGGCACAAAATGTAACCTAACTGTGTGTATAACATATTTAATGAAATAAAAGATGGCATTACAAAAATTAACAAGCAACCAGACTCTAGAATGACTAGTTAGGTTTGAAAGAGAACTATCCAAAGCTTTTCAAAATTAAAAAAATGCAAGGATGAAAATAAAAAGCAATATTGGGGGGTTTAACATCCGATTAAACACAACTGAATAGAGATTAGTCAACCAGAAAGTTCTTCCTCTAAGTATGGTGCTTGGACCTACAGCATCATCAGCCCTGAGAGCTTGTTAGAAATGCAGGTTCTTGGGCATCACCCAGAACTACTGAGTCAGAATCTGAAGTTTAACAGATTCCCTGTGATTTGTAGGCATATCCAAGTTTGAGAAATATTAAACTGGTAGAAATGACATAGCCAAAAGAACAGAGATGAGGAGGGAAATATGAAGGAGAGGTTAAGAGATACGGCAGTGATAAAGAGAGGGCCTAGAAAAATTTAATTCTGGTCCGTGGTAAGATTAAAAATGGTGGAGAGCAGATAATATTTGAAGAGATTGGCCTAGAACAGATGACAGGCATGAATTCACATATATAAGAATTTACAGCAAACAGGAAAATAAGGAGTTCATGGCCAGGAGTAAGACTGCAGAATACTGAGATAAGTAGAAAAGTGGTCTGAGGTATTTCAAGATGGGGGGTTGCAAAGTGACAACTGGCAAAGGAGTGGTCTTTCTTAACCTTGCCTGGAGGGCGTGACTGGGCCCACAGGGTGGCAGCAGTGGGCGTTAAGGGAGCGAGCAAATGTCTATGGAGGGTACTCGAGTATCTGATAAATCGTGGAGACTTGGAATCCCAGGGATGCCAATCGTAGGTTGCCTTTGAGAGAGCGGTGCCTCTCAAAAGACATTGATCTGTTCAGTTGGCACATTGTCGAAAAATGGGCAACAGGTGGTAGTGGGATGACCTGGCTGACTGCCCCTTGGTCCCCCGGAAGCCCTGGCTGCAGCAGGTGACAGGTTGAGAGGACAAGAGGCTTCTTTCCCCATTGAGCAGTCCCAGTTCTTACTGCCCTCCAGCTGAAGGGTTTTCCACAGGGTAAATTTTTGGGGTCGTTTGACACCACCTGAAACTTGATGTTTCCTCCCTCCCTTGACATCTGGCTACACACTATACCCAGATCCTGGGCAGAGACCCCAGAGCTCACACCCTGCCCTCCCTCTCTACCCAGAGAAGGTAAGAGGAACTCACCTGTCCCTGGGGACCTGGGGCAGTGGCTGGAACTTTCTGGAGAGCTTCCCTTGCTCTATCAGACCCTCTCTACCTTGCCCAGTCCCCCAGGCCCTCACTGCAGGGTCATTCCTGAGTGCCTCCTCCCGCCATACCCATGGAGACAGATATAGACACTGGTGAGGACTTGGAGAAAGGCTGCTTGGAAGGCTCTGGTGGGAGTGAAATTGGTTCTGTCATTTCAGAAAGCTGTTCAGCAATGGGTATCGGTAACATCAGAAATGTTCACCCCCTATGACCTAGCACTTCCACGCACACAAATCCTTCAAGAAGTCTTCAAAGGCAAACCAAGGGGCGCCTGGGTGGCTCAGTGGGTTAAGCCTCTTCTTTCGGCTCAGGTCATGATCCCAGGGTCCTGGGATCAAGCCCCACATCTGGCTCTCTGCTCAGGAGGGGGCCTGCTTCCCCCTCCCCCTCTGCCTGCTTCTCTGCCTACTTGTGATCTCTCTCTCTCTCTCAAATAAATAAATAAAATCTTAAAAAAAAAAGACAAATTGAGCCTGTGGGAAGACTCCCCATGCTGTTATTTATAACAGCTAAAATAGAAACAAATATCTAATGAGAGAGAATTGAAATAAATGGAAGCAAATGGTGAGGAAATATCACAGAGCTGATACACATTTTATATATAAAGTTTGGTGAAACATGGAGAAACATTTCTAAGAATTAAGTGGGTGGGCACCTGGCTGGCTCAGTGGGTGGAGCGTGTGCTACCCTTATCTCAGGGTCATGAGTTTGAGCCCCGCGATGGGTGTGGAGATGATTCAAAAATAGAAATCTTAAAAAAGAAAGAATTCAGTGGAGAAAGCAGAATTTAAATCTGTGTATACAAACTCATTTGTCAGAGAACACCAGCGAACGATGTAGAGTTAAAAAAAAATGGGAAGGAAACGCAACAAAATGCAGCTGGATTGTGGGGCGGCGGGGGGTGGGGGTTGAGCCTGAGTGCGTTTTCTTCTCCTCCCCCCTGTGTTTCTAACTTTTGTATACCAAGCGACTACCCACTTCACTTTTTAAGAAAGCCGAAAAAGAAAAAAATAGCAGTCCTGTTATTCTATTCCCTCCCCCTTCCCAATCTCCAGGGGTCCAGACTCAGGGTCACCTTCAGGTTTCTCTTAGGTTCCTGCCCTGTCCCCTCTCTCCTGCCTTTTAGATGCCCACAGGCACCTGTGCTTTCCTACCCCTTCCTAACCCCAACCCAAAGGCAATTAACTCTTTCTTAACAAGGAAGGAGCCAAGCTTTTCTCCAGCCTCCTTCCAAAGCCTGGGATGCATGGCTGGGTAGGGAGCTAGGAAAAGTAACCCTTCCCTGCCAGTCCCGGGGTCTCAGGCCTTCCAATGGGCACCTGACCTGGGCCTGGACTCAGACCAGCCCAGGAAAGCTCCCAGCTGGGTCATGGTGTCGTAGGCAGAGCAGACCCTATGGGGAGGGGGCAGGCGGAAGACCCCGCAAACCAAGTGTAGACTTTAACCTGAGCCCACTGCTTCTCAAACTCAAGTATTAGAGTCACTGGACACTTGTTAGAAATGTAAAGTTGTGGGCCCAGCCACAGAGAGGGTCTTGGTAGGTCTTGGGAGAGCCCAGGAAGCACAATTTTAACCAGCCTCCTCAAGGACTGGGATGCAGTCACATTTTGAGAAACCAGAACCCCGTCTATTCCCAGCACGCTCCTCTTTCTTCTCCTCGCCCACTTATGCCAGAGAAAGTGGTGCTGAGTCAGGATGGAAGGAAGGGAGAAGTAGGTGGGGGTCTTTTGCTGGGCACCCAGGCACGGGGGATTTCTGGTAGTAGATTCAAACTCAGACCAGATCTCCTGAGCCTTGCCTGGCTCTGGCGAGCTCCGAGGGGGCTGCATACCCCCCCAGCCCCCCAGGGATGTGAACATGCTGAGGAGGTCCAAGGGTCCCGCTGACACCACTGAGGCCACCACTGCAGGTTCGGGGGCTGACAAAGGCTTCCGGGTCAGGCTGGGCAAGCAGGAGGAGAGCCCAGGGTCTGGCAGGCGAACTCTGAAGCCGTCGCGGAAAGCTTATTGGAGTTAGTGCGGACCGGCTTGGAGGGAACTCTTGGTGCTAGACTGAGATGAACTTGGAGAAGCCAAGCTCCTCCCCGGACATGTGGAGGGGAGGCCCTGGAATCATGTCCCCCTCCGGGTCCTGGGAAGGGGCTTCATCTTCCTCTGAAGTCTGGAAAGACAACAGTCAGGGGTTGAAAAGCAGAGCCCAGCCGGGGGCAGGGTGGGGGGTTCTCCAGGTAGCTGTTGGGTCCACCCCAGCCTTTTCCACAGTTCTGGGCCTCTAATGGGCACAGACTAACAAGCTCTCCCCAGAACCCCCAGGCATTATCCATGCCCCCCCACACCCTCCTCATGGCCTCAGGCCAGGTTTTTGCCTGCAGATATTGGAATCCAGCCAGCCCAGAGCGCTTTTAAACTGTGACTACCACCAAGCTGTTCAAGAACTTTCTGGATGGGGATAGAAGAGGATGCAAGGTTGGAAGTCCTGACTCCTGAATGAAATGGCCAGCATCTGCAGTTATGGTCGTGTAGCGGGGCGGATTCAGGGGGCAATGTTCCGAGTGGATGCTGACGAAAGAGTCCCCTCCCCCGACTTCCCTGAATTGTCAGAGAGGAGCCAGGCTAGGTGGCTCCAAACCCTCCCCCCACCCCTCCCCACTCCCCTGAGACCTCTGTTCACACCTGGCTGAGGCCCTGGGTTTCTGTGCACGGGCTGGGGCTGGCGTGGGGCCCAGGGGGCCCTTCGAGGTTGATCACGGTGTACTCCAGCGGCTGAAACAGAGACTTGGTCAGCAGAGCCCATTCTTGGCAGCAGTGATGGTCCCCTGCCTCCCGGATCCATAGCAAGAGGAGGGAGCCACGGGAGAGCGTGGGCAAGGGGAGGAACACAGGCTGCAGGGTCAGAGCCCTTCCATCCAATTTCCTGCATCTCTGAGTGACCTTGGGCACACCACTAACCTCTCTGAGACTCAGTCTCCTCAGCTGTCAAATGGGGATAAGAATTTTTCCCTTGGGATTATAATGAATATTCCTGGTCATGTTTTACCGCTCAACACCTGGGAACTCCCGCAATGATTCATTTGTTTTCATTATTGTCACCTCTCTCCTCAAAGCAGAAAGAATGTGGAGGCTGTTGGCTCTCCGCAGGTCAGGGAAAGCAAAGCTGAACACCTCCAAGGTTCACCGAATAACAAACCGCAGAGGAAAAATTCTTTACAACCATAAGCCTGAGCGCCACCACCCACCCTTGATCAGATAAGGAAGCCAAGGCCAAGGGAAGAGAGGCGGGTGGTCCAGAGCGAGTAGGGGCTGTCCTGGGGCCAGCAGCCGGGTAGAAGGGGCTGGAGCCAGCCAAGGGTCCCAGCCAATTCTCCCAAGGGCATAGCTGCCCTTAGGGGTCCCGGCTGGCAAGTCCCATGGCCCCACAGGAACTGAAGACAAAGAAGGAATCTCCTATCTTCTGGACACCTACTGGTGGTCTCCTCTCACAATTTCCTGACCGCAGCCCTGTGAGATGGGGATACTGAGGCTCAGAGAGGTGAGGTAACTTGCCGGATGTCACACAGCTGGGCTGGGACTCAGACTCAAGACACTTCAGACCCACGTTCTTTTCCTATCCCTGCCCACCATCCTGGCGGGACGTGATGCACACGCTTCCCTTCATTTCATTGTCCTTGTCCTCTAACTGCCCCTCTCCCTTGTTTCTATCACTGCCCTGGCTGCAGGGGATCGAGGCAGAGGTTGTCACTTGAGCCATCTCGGGTGACACATTCAGTCTTACAGGATGAGATGAAAATCAGAGCAGATTTCCTTGAGGGGTCTGGGGCTGGGGGCACGAGGGGATGAGGGAATGGGGGGAGGGCAAGGAGATTTCACAGATCCTGGTCTCTCCTGGTCCGGCCTACGGTGAGGACATGGCAGAGCCGGGGTTCGATCTGATGACTCTGATGTCAGGTGCATTTCCCCATCAGTCCCATCTTTACAGTTTTGTGATTTGGCCCCAACCAGCCCTGGCTGACCACCACTGCCCACCGGCAGCCACGAAAGCAGCATTTACCCAAGGGTGTCTGCATTTTTTGAACTCTCCTGGGGCAGGGACCAAACCACACATGCAGGGAGTGGCCAGGACCCCTACCCTATGTCCATTGTGGGTCCAGTAGCCTGTTCCAGCAAGTGAGGAGGCGTTTTCTAGATCGTTGAATATAGAGATACATAGGAGAGCCTCTGAGTCTAAGCACTAGGGAAAAAGCAGGGACTCAGGGAAGCTTTGGGAGGAGGGAGCTGAGCCCTAATCTGAGCCGAGCACTCCCCCTTGCCTGTTTCAGGAGTCAGGGGCCTGGCTGTCCCATGTTCACGGATTGAGGATGGCTCTTTCTTCTGAGTCTAGGGGAACCGGCCTAGGCGGGCCGAGCAGTCGGCTCCACTTCTCAAGCCCTCCACACTCCAGTGTGGCGAGGCAGCAGCAGCTCGGGCACTGCTATCAGCGCCACAGACTGGGTCCCTTTTCCCAGTTCTGCCTCTTTCATGCTGGGCCTCTGGGGGCAAGTTACTTATGCTCTCTGAGCCTCTGTTTCTTATTCTGTAAGAAGGGGGTCATGAGAACTCACGCAGGAGTTACGAAGATTCAGCAACATAGGTAAAGCCCCAGGCACACAGTAGGTGTTCAATTAGAGAGTAAAATGAGAGCATCTTGAAATAGCTCTGTGGGCAAGGGAAATGCTGGCCTGAGCCCTTGTACTTCCCTCTGAGTTTCACATCCCCTGGGGCTCTAGGGCATAGCCAGCAGACTGCCCCCTTCCCTCTTTGACCGGAATGTGGGCAAAGAAAACCCCAAACCGTTTCAATTCCACCTGTAGCCCCCGCTAAAAATCACAAAGAAGCCCAAAGGGAAATAAACCAAAAAAAACAAAAGCTCTCAATTGGCCGTGTTCACAGAGGTCTTGTCTCTGATCCTCTCGGGAGACCCTGTTCCATCCTTCCCTCAACAAGGGCCCAACCCCGTTCTCAACCCCTCAGCCCATAGCCCTGTGCCCTTTCCTGGCCCCTCCCACGTGAGCAGGGGCAGGGACAGGTGCGCAGGTGGGAAGCAGTCCCAGGCGGCCCTTCCCAGGGTGGGCTGGGTAGCAGCAGCTTGGAGAGAGGGGAGATGTTCTGGGACCTCCCAGAGCAGAGACTTCCCCTCTGGCCCCGCCCCTCTTCTAGAGCGCAGGGTACGCCCCCAGGACGCACTACTGGAAGCTGGGCTCTGGAGGACAGCGGCAGCCCCCCTCCCCATCTGGGTCTCTGACCTTTTCCTCACTCCTGTCCACCACCTCTGGCCTTGCCGGGCTTCCTGAGACAACAACAGCTGCTTCCTAAGCCAAAACCCAGAACCTCATTCCTGCCCTGGCCCCTCCCCAGGGCGATCAGGCCCAAGTCTTTTGTCTTCACTGGCGCCAGGAAAGAAGGCCATGGCAAGCCCCCCTTTCCCGTCCCCATGTGTAGGAGAATAAAGTAGAGGCATCTCAATAAACAGCAGAGGTGGGGGGACAGAGGTGGGGCTTCTGTGTCCTGAGCCCATGACCCTGCAGCCCTCCCAAAGACCACGAGGATCCAGCTCTGACAGTCTCTGCTTCTAAGAGGCAGAGGGGAAGAGGGTGCTGGGCCTGGGGAAGACTCCTGCCTCGAACCCCCTGGGCACTCAGGGTGAGGTGGGGCATTCTTTTGGCTCACACCCTGAAAGGCTGGTCTCAGGGCTCACACAGATTCCCCAGAGACGGGCAGCAAGCCTTGAGTGGAGCTCAGAGACAAGCAGGTAGGGAGATGCACAGACAGGGCCCAGGATTCCCGATGTCCGGCCCCACAGGGATCGGAGCTGGGGTTTGGGGCTGGCCGCCTTCCTTACCAAGTGTGAGGGGTGGACCTTCCCGTTCCTCTGTGTCTCTGTGGCCAGGTGAGCTGAAAGAGACCGGCAGGCATACCCTGAGGCCAGGAGCAGCCCAGAGCAGCCTGCAAGAGCTCCCACAGAGGAGGAAGGGCCCCCCTGGACTTGGGACCGGGGGGCTTCCCAGAGTGAGCAGACAGGTTGGGACAGGCAGACTTCTTGGACTTCTGGCTCAGTCCCTTAGCCATGATCCAGACTTTGGGGATGGGAACACGGACATCTCCCGGTATGAGCCAGAAACTGGCTGGGGAAGTAATTCTATGAGCTAAGGTCATTGCTTCTCAGCCTCAGTGTGCATCCAGGATCCCGAGACATTGTATGAAAGTGTCCATTCTCCTGCAGCAGGTCGGGGCTAGAGCCTGAGAGTCCTTTTAACAGGCTTCCACAGGATGTCACTGCTGCTAGCTGGGGACCACAATTCGAGAGGCAAGGGGCTAAGAAGTTCTGAGGTCTCCATCAGGAATATTCCCACCCTGTGTGCTCCTCCGGACTCCTCTGCGGTGAGCTGGGGGCGTGGGCAGAGCTGACATTTCTTCCTGGGGGCCACACAGGGCAAAGTCTGAGGCAGGCCCAGGACCACCGCCCTCCCCCACCCAAGGCCAGGAGCAGTAAGACAACTTTGCCAATTTGCAGTGTTCTGGCATACGTCTTCCTGGTTCCACCGTTTCCTGGCTGTGCAGACTTAGGGCAAGCTGCTTAACCACTCTACCTCAGTTTCTTTACCGGTGAAATGGGGGCGCTTGTAATGGGCAGTTTCTAATGCCACAGTATTGAGAGCATTAGAGGAGATAAAAGCAACATGAGCCACACAGAAACGCCCAGCCCACAGCAGCTCCTTTGGCTGGTATTTCGGCCACCCCTCTTAAACCATACTGTCTGCCAGAGGAGCCCCGAGTTGCACTCAACCACTGACCCCGGAAGCACGACTGCTCCGAATCACACCAGGTTTTGAAGACTCAATATGAGAAAAATGCAGGATGAGGAATATGTAGCATGAATAGTTTTATATTGTTTCCACGTTGAAATGATCGTGTTTTGGATAGATCATGCTAACAAAAGTATATTATTAAAATTAATGTCCCCGGTTTCTTTTTACCCTTTTTCATGTGACTTTTAGGGAAGTTTAAATTACATATGCGGCTTGGATTCTACTTCTGTTGGACTCGTATTCTATTTCCATTCTAGTTCTCTTGTATTCTAGATCTGTGATCCAGAAAAGCCGTGGCTCAGGGGAGGTAGGGGACTTGCCCAAGATCACACGGCTAAAAAGTAGCAGACCTGGGACTTGAAGCCAAGTCTTCCCAGGAGCTATGCACCTCCCGAGACCCCACAGTATGTGTGAGGCCCCAGTAGCCTTCCTGTTCAGGGCTTAGTTTCTAACTCCCACCCCCACCCCCTGCTGTAGTCACACAAGGAACCGTACCTGTGGAGGTCGGATGTGGATTGCTGGGATCAATAGGGACAGAAGTGATTGATGAGCTTGGACAGATGGGAGCAAGCCAAGAGCCCCCGTTTTTCCATTTGCACATTTGAATGTCTTTTTCCTAATGTTGGCTGACCTGTGGCTCCCTCAAAAGGGAGGAACACGGCTCCCGATGCTCATATCTTGGAGGGACACACTGAGCCCCAAGGTCTCCCTGGGGTGGTGGGGGGACTGCAGGTCTCAGTGGGGTCCCTGGAGTCTACTTTTGCTCACCTTCCTTCCTCCAGCGGAGAATATAGTTGCCGAGGGCCGCCAGGCCTGCGGCCAGGAGGAGAGCCAGCAGCACAAAGACTGGGGCCAAGATGCGGACCGTTGGGATGGAGACACTGTGGGCGAGACAGAAGGACCCCAGCAGTTGTCACCAGATCACAGTGGCATGCTGTACACCATAGCATTCTTCGTCTACGTCCCAGCCATGTCCCTTGTCTTTCCCAAAGAGATCAGAGGGCACTGGGAACCACAGCACCTGGGCGGTCCCAGTGGGAGGGACCCCAGCCCCCACTACTAACCCCAGGAAACACTCTCAGCTGGGTCTGAACTTGGCAACAGGTTACCTGGCTATCTCAGGCAGGAAGCCTCCGTCAGCAACGGAGTGCGATTATATACAACCCCCAAGAACCAATCCTTCAGGCCATGGCTCCAGTTGGGTAAGAAAAAAACCCATGTTCATGCTTGGCACAGGGCCCAGTGCAAGGTGCATCGGCAAAACTGGGCTGGCTGCCCTTGCGGCTGGGGTGGGGAGAGAGGTGGGGGCCGGGGCCACCGTGGACCGTTCACCTCAGGTGGGCCTGTGTGTCCAGAGCAACATGAGTGCCGGCCCTGCAGTGTAGGTTGTCCACTGCTCAAGGGTCCTGAGGAGGGGGGACGGGGGCTGCGTCTGCCCTCTGTGCTGTTAGCCACGGCCCCAACAGGAGGCTGTGTCCGACTAGAGGAAGGAGTGCCAAGTCCTCCTCACTTGCTCCCAGCCACCTCCTGTTGTGGAGATGGCCTGAAAGGTGACCTTGGTCACTGTGGGCTCACCTGGACACGGAGCTGCTGCTGCTGGGGGACAAAGGGGTGTCCTCCGCGGAGGTGAAGTCCGGCTGTGTGGGTGGGCGGGAGGTCCCTGCATGAGGAGAGGTTGCTTGGTGAGGAGAGGTCCCCGCGTATGGAGATGTTCCTGTGTCTGGGGAGCTTCCTGGGTGCTGGGCCGGGGAGGTCCCCATGAGCGGAAAGGCCTCGGCCCCTGTCTTCCCCGGCTTGGCTGTGGTGACTGTTTGGTGGAGACCGGGAGAAGCTACAAGTCCAAAAGCAATGCCTCAGCACCTTCTCAGACCCTTGCATCCCAGCATTCCCCAGACCTCTGACCCCTGACCCCTGAATCCTAGCCTCCCCAGGACCAACTTCTCAGCACATCCCCAGCTAAAGGACCCCCCAGGAAGCAAACAGAGACCTAGAGGAAGCCATCGTGAGCAAGCTGCCCCGATCTCAGGTACACCCCACACACATGCAGAGTTTTCAGCCCCTGCCTGTGCCCGATGCCTGGGTCGCCACACCCCTGCCCCACTCCGCGACCCATCCCCGGGCCATGCAGGACACACAGCCCCGCCTGCCCTCCCCTACCTCCCCCAGTCCTGGCCAGTTATCACTCATGTTGCCCCATGCCCACCCTCACCACCTCTGCCTCAACAGGCCTTGACCTCCCTCAACAGCCACTGGGTCCCCAGGGCAGGGTGGCAGGGACAGGTCCAGAGGTCAGGGTCCGAGGCCCCACATTTCCTGCTCAGCATTGCAGCCCGAGGTAGAGCAGACAGAACACAAGCCTAGCCTTCAGGCTGCACTTCCTCCCAGGGCTCTGCTGCTCCTTGCGGGACCTGACCCCACAGGGTCCCCGATTCCTCCGTGGACAGGCAGCTCCTAGGCTCTGGGGGCCCCGGGGCGCAGTGCCTGGCTATGGGCAGGCACTCATGGGATGCAGCTTTGTAGAGGGGTGGAGGGGAAACAGAAAAGCCATTCACTCACTCAATTCTGGGGGCTGAGTTTGCCAAGCTTTTGCCTTGGGCTGGAAGCTTCTTGTAGTAAGAGGCTGGAAGGAGGGAGTGGGGGAGGGAGGACAGCAGGGACCTAGGGGAAAGGGAGAGGCTGGTCTCAGGGGAGGTGAGGGCCACCGCTCTGAGGCAGATGTCCTGCCTTGGTGGCAGCCAGTAACATCCCTGCCCCCACCTCTCTGCTCAGAGTCTCCACCACCTTCTTCCCCCAGCCACTTAGGAGGCACGGATGGAAGATTCTAGTCGATTGTTGGTCTCCCCATCCTGCAGTTCCTTTGGCCTCCCACTTAGCTCAGACCTTCAGCTTCCCTTGCTCCCCAGCTGCCCACCAGCCTACTCTTTCTGTGCCACTCTTCACACCAATACTGGTTTTGTCTCTAGAATATAGAGCTGGGTGTGGAATACTGGATCCCATCGTTTCTTGCTTCAGAGCCGTCAATGGCCCTCATGGCCTAGGAGCTGAAGCTCAAGCTTCTTAGAGGCCTTTCAAAGCCTTTCAGACTCAGACCTCAGTTCCCTGTGTTGGCTTCTGGGACACCAGCCATTCATTCCCCTACTTGGCCTTTAGTCCCAATTAAGTGAGCGTCCCACTCGCCACCGTGTCTTTGCTTCACCGTTCCCCTGTGTGCCATGCTTCTCCTCTCCGCCTCTGCCTGACACACATCTTTCTGTCCCCGCAAGGCTGGGATCCCTCAAGGACAAGATGCCTAGCCTCTGTGCCGAGCACAGTGGGCAGAAACGTGGTGTGGCCAATCGCCCCGGAGCCGCCGAGCTCCCTGCCCCCCTCCCCCGGCCCCTGGGTGCCCCTCTGTCACCTTGCTGGAGTGCCATGTGGGACTCGCTCCCTGTCCCCATCATTCTCTATTCTTTTTTTTTTTTTAAGATTTAATTTATTTATTTGTCAGAGAGAGAGAGAGAAAGTACAAAGCAGGGGGAGCAGCAGGCAAGGAGGGAGAAGCAGACTCCCCGACTCTATCTCAGGACCCTGGGATTATAGCCTGAGCTGAAGGCGAAGAATAATCAATTGAGCCACCCAGGCATCCCTCATTCTCTGTTCTAATACGAAGTCAGGTTTCCTCTGATTTTTCTGAGGAAATGACCACATCTTGCACAAATAAACGGTATGTATCTTTTCCTATCCGATATGTATACTTTTTTATCCTGTCGTATTTCATGGCTTAGACCCTCCAGGCAATGGGGAATAGAAGAAATGATATTGTGTACTCTTGTCTTGTTCTCATCTTCCTAGAAATTCTCCTTACTTGCCACACTCAATGATGGGCTGCAGACGGCTCCCACTGACTCGGGAGAGCTGACTGTCCACTTTTCAGGAATTCTGTGAGCTGGTCATTAAACTATCGGTGGCTGGAAATGGGGGAGGGTGGGGGCCATTTAAACCGCGGAAACTGGCAAGCGTTACAGATCAGAGTTTCCCCAGCTCAGCATTCACAGGTACACCATGGCCATTAGCCTTTATTTTCTACATCCCAGCTATCATCAGGAAAACGTTATCAACGTCTGACACAGGATAACACAATAACACACATATCATGCATGAATGAACAATTACAAATGAGGTCAAAATTTAAAATAGAGAGCCTCAAATATAGCTAAATTGACCCCCACTAGGTAAGAAGGAGGTCTGAGTACTGATAAGAATCAGAGATCAGAGAAGCTTCTAAATAACAGAACAGGTTCAGTATGGTTACAACACTGCTGTTATTGTTTGGTGAGCTTAGCTCTATCTCCTTGAATTAAAAGAAAGACCCACAAATGTCGGGGGATCTGGCAGTGGGGATGGCCCAGGGATGGCCCAGGGATGGGGAGGGTACCAGTGATACGGCCAGGAGAGGGAAAGAGCAGACACCAAAGTGAGAAAAAAAAAACCCCTGGGTTTGAATCCTGATTCCATCACTTCTTTCCATGAGAAAGGCAAATCATTTCATCTCTGGAGCCTTGTCACCCCCCCCCCCATCTGTGAAATGGGATACAGAGATCTGCCTCACCCTCATTGGCCAGCAGACTAGGGTTGCCCACTCTCCTAGGCCCTCTCTGGCTTCTCTCATCTCAGATCAGCAGGTCCAGTGGGGTTCTGGACATACAGAGAGGTGCTCCATCCGAGTCCCCTAGTGTCCCTGAGCTCAACGAGCTCCTCTGAGGCTCGATCCCAGGCCCTCTTCGCCCCTACCTTTGGGGCTTCGAGATCTGGGGAAGGGAAGCGGGAAGGAAGAGCGGAGACCACAGGCAGCGCGAGGCCAGTGTGGGCGAGGCCAGTGTGGCCGCGGCTAGGGGGCGCTGTGGAGCGGGTCTGGGGTGCTGCACAATGGTGGGTCCAGGCTGTGGAATCCTCAGGAATAGTTCTGACTCCAAAGAGGGAGGCTTTTTCATTCTGTGGGCTGCATATCTCATCCCCAGCCCATGCAATCTCTCTCCCACCTCGGGGCAAAGAGGAAAGGCACTGAGCTGGGAGTTTAACAGATCTGCGTGGTATGACCTTGTCAAAGAGCAGTCAAGCCTCATGCTGCACCGTCTCTGCTCCCAGGACGGCTGAGCACTTGACCAGCATCATCTCACTGAGCCCTTGACCGCCCCCCGCCCCAGGAGGGTGGTACAAGCGCTACACCTGTTGATGAGCAGGAGACAGGGTCTGCCTCTGCTCAGCGACCCACCTGTCCCTCCTCCCCTCTGTATCACTTGTCCCCCATGCAGGGAAGCAGAGACATGTGTTACCTGGAAAGACAAGCAGAGAGACCAGGACAGACTCATCTCGCCCCAGTTTGGAGACCCCACAGTAGTACTTTCCGGAGTCCCGCAGGGTGAGCTTCCTCAGGGTCACGTGGAGTGTGAGCGTCTGGGGGCTGTCTTGGATGGACACCCTGCCCTCTGTCGTCTCCTGGCCATCTTCTCCTGCATAGATGGTGTTCAAGCAGCGGGACAGGAGGAACCCGCCCTGCTTGCACCAGTACTTCTGGTGTGTCCTCAGCTCCTCCTGGTAAGTGCACTGCAAGGACACTGTGTCACCTTCAAACCCACTGATCTCCTTGGGGCCCACCATGGCTCCATAACCTGAAACCATAGCAGGGACGGAGGTCAGAGTTCCGAGGACCAAGTACCATGGTCAAGACCAACAGACTCCTCAGTCACCCTCTTTTGTGGCAGCCCCAGAAGGGCTGGTGGTCCCTTCCCCACCAGGGGAGACTGGGAGGGGGCTATTGCTGTGTCCTAACACCCTAACACCCTAAACACCCTAAACCTGGCGTACAGAAGGGTGGTGATGGGGAAGCTCGAGATTCAGACAGCCTGGAGTTTGAATCCCAGCACTGCCACGCAGCAGCTGTGTGACCCTGGGGAAGTTGCTTGCCTTCCATGGGTATCTGGGTTTTCCCATCTATAGATGATGATGATGATGATGATGATGATGATGATGATGATGATGATAATGTCCAGGTACATTGAAATTAAGATGCTCTCATATGTAAGATACACCATAATTTTATATACCACTAAAAAAAAGCACAGTCACTTGAACAATTGCATCCTGACATTTGATGTTAAAAGGTTGAAAAAAAAAAAAGAGGTAGACCCGTGAACTGATGAATCAGGACAATGCCTTATCTCTCAGGGTTGTTGTGAGTGGTACAGTAGAGGTTCAAGAAATATTTGCAGAGTTTACCATGGCAACCATGTACAGGGTATCTTGTCTGCCTTCAGGCTGGGTGCAGAGTAGGAAAATAAAGATGAGAGAGGTAAAACCTCCCTCCTAGCCACCTAACCAGGAAGGGTTTGGAGCCCAGACGTCTGGGAGAAAAGCTGACTCTGCGTTCCAGAAACAGCTAGTGCTTGTCCCCCCCCCCCCCCCCCAGTGATATGAGGACCAGTGCGGTAGGGGTGGGACCCGGAAGGATCAGGCAGCAGTGGGTCGCGAGAATGAAAGATAGATTCTCTCTCTGCCAGCTTGGGCATGAGCCCCACATCCCCTCACCACTCCACCCTCTCCCACCCCATCTCACCTGGGAGCAAGAGGCAGCCCCACACCAGGACGAGGGCCCACATGGTGGGCGCTGGACATGCAGGAGCACACGCGGAAACTGGGAGCTCCTCTCAGAACCACGCGGGGCTTTAACTTCCTCCAGAGGCACAGGAGGATGAAGGGGGGAGGGGCCGCGCAGGGTCCCCCTCCCTGCGCAGAGGGAGGCGCCTCTGCATTCCCTTTATTTACCCTAGGCGCGCTTGCCAGCCACCGGGAATTATCGCCTCTCCACCCCCCAAACCACCCGAGCACCTCTCCCAAACCCGTACCCCTTGAGGAGGGGGGGTCTTAACCATGCCTACTCCCAGAGGGCCTGTGTGCCGACCAAGAATTCAGGCAGTCCAAGAATGAAAAAATTACATACTTTTATTAACCTTTAAGGGATTAATCTTTTTCCTTCTATTGTGCTAGCATTATCTGTGACTTTGTCACCAAAAAAATCAGCCACTGGCACATCAAGTCGCCGATAGCTTGAAATATCGTATGTGCTTCTCACTACTTGGAAAATAATTAGTTACCAGGCCTGCCACTAGAGCTGGTTACTGAAAGCATTAATAAAGCCCATTTATTACTATATCACACATTCACAAATATTTTGATAACCACTTCAACATTATTGGCTTTCTTTTATATATATATATATATATATATATATATATATATATATATATATTTATATTTATATATTTAAAAGACGGTTATTCCGAGACGAGGCCCATAAGCTTTACCAGACTGCTAAGTGGTCAATGGTACCGAGGTTCAGGGTCCCTCTGGCAGTGCCCCCCACCCTTCCTCCGTCGCTTCCCGGAGGACGCAGTACCTCTTTTGGTCACCAGGAGGCGCTGCGAAAGGGGAGACGGGAAGCCCAAGGGCTGGGCGGAGCGGGATACCGGGAATCACCTGCGAGCCACGCTGTAAGGCCGGGTCTCCCCATCCACCTTGAGTTGTCTGGGCATTTAAAAAAGTGAATTAGCAAGTTCTTATCACAAAATTGAATCCTCCTTTTTTTTTTTTAAGATTTTATTTATTTATTTGACAGGGATCACAAGTAGGCAGAGAGGCAGGCAGAGAGAGGGGGGAAGCAGGCTCCCTGCTGAGGGGAGCCCGATGTGGGGTCCTGGGATCATGACCTGAGCTGAAGGCAGAGGCTTTAACCCACTGAGCCACCCAGGCGCCCCAATTGAACCCTCCTTTAAAGGAACAGAACACACACGCACACTAGAGGGAGCCCTGACACATCGTTTTTCAAAATAGCTCTGTGGTTGGGGGTGGGGGGTGGGGGGGTTGATTGCAAAATTCATACTGGTTGCAAGCAAAATTTTACACAATTCAGGAACGTTAAAAAAATAAGATAAAAAAAGAATGGGACTGTTTCCTGTAATTCCCTTCTCCTTTGGAAAACCAGGGTTAACATTTAGCATACGTGCTTCTACTTGTACAATTGACAGTTTTCTCATTTGCTGGGTTAATATTTGAAGCATTAACTCAGTTGTTCTGGGAGGGGAGATTGTGTGTGTGCAGTGTGTGTGTGAATGTGTGTTTGTGCGCGAATATGTGTGTGTGTGTGTGAGTGTGTGTATGTGTGTGTGAGATTTGGACAATGTGGGGAGACGTGTCTCAATTTCATAATGATTAGGGGGTACTGCTGGTGTTGAATGAGCAGGGACCCCAGGCTCTGATTCCATCACATGTACAGACTACAAAAGGTTGGGCGCCTGGGTGGCTCAGTCGGTTAAGCGTCTGCCTTTGGCTCAGGTCATGATCCCAGGACCCTGGGATCACATCCCACTGCCTGCTCAGCAGGGAGCCTGCTTACCCTTCTCCTCCCCACTTGTGTTCTCTCTCCCCATCTCTGTCTCGCTCTCAAATAAATAAATAAAATATTTTTAATAAATAAATCTTTTAAAAAAACATCAAAAGTTAATCAGCTTTTGCCGTTTTAAAAACACAGATTAAAATCATATTTATTGTAGCCTTTGATCATCATCTCTCTTTTTCCTGTTTTTGTCCTTCTACAGAATAAATTCTGATCTTCTTACTTTTCTTAAATCCTAAGTGATTTATTTTAAGCAGCGGCAAGTATCTGACACTTCACTGTTTTCTAGTGTCATGGAGCCCGAGCACTGACATTTTGAAATATGTGTTATTTGGTTACAAATTGTTTTCCTTTTATTATTTTTCCCTCTGTTACAGTCCAGGTATGGTACTGTGATTTTTAAAAATTAAGTGTACGAGGAGTCATATTGTTTATGGTTGTCATGTATGGAGAGTAAAGGAAGTGGTACCCAAAATTGTATTTTTATGAAGACAGTTTTGGGTCCCATATGCATCATCCCTGTTTCCTTCATGCATATTGCGAAGTCCTTCCTTCTACCCTCCCAGCCCTGCACCTAGGTGGGAACGAGGCTTGAGGACTCCATTAGAAACAGATCATAAGGTTCAAAAGCAGTGCATGAGTTGGGGAGAAGGGTCTCGATTGAAGCATTGGTGTGGGCGCTGCAGCGAGTCCTGCCCCCTTGGGTATACGAGGAGCAATGGATTGACCTCCCCCCTCCATGGGTTTGGGGATCTGAGAGGAGAGGGCACTTGTGTCCTGCTTCCTACAGGAGAGCAGTGAGGCAAAAGGGCTCCTGACCCTGTGGCTCTCTGGTGGCCTCCTCACATCATCATGGCATCTGTGAGCCTGGAGGTGCCAAGGGTGGGGCGATGGGACGGGCAGCAGACCCAGGGAGAAGCAGCCACTCCAGACCCCTAGGAAGTGGAGAGCCCAGTGGATGCTGGCTTAGGCAAGTAACAGTAAAGGCTGCTCCCTACTTTTCTAGGTCCTGGTGGTAATTAACAATCTCCAGGACTTAGAACCACCGTTGGGAGAAGGGAGAATGGGAGAGAACTCTCACGTTTCCCTGGAGTCCTCTGAGAAAACCTGCATTGAAACTGAACACCCAGCTTTGGGGTGGGGGTTAGCAAGGTCTGTTATTGGGGCAGATAACATCTGGCCAGACAAGAGCCCAGCTCGCCCGTTACTCCGGTCTGGCTCCCATCTGCATTGGACTTGCTTGGACTAAGTCACTTCCTCTGATCGAAAATGGTGATTTTTTCCCTCTTAGGTCAGAGTCTCTCGACATCAGCACTACTGACCTTTTGGGCTAGATGATTCTATGTTAGGAGGGGCTCTCCCACGCATTGTAGGGTGTTTAGATGCTGATTGTGACCATCAAAAATGGCTCTAAACATTGTCAAATGTCCCTCTAGGAGGCAAACCTACTCCGGGATGAGAGCTTCTACTTTAGAGGATGACTGAATTCATGAAAAAAAAAAAAGTATAAATCGTGTAAGTTGTGTTTGCACAGGTGCATTCACATGGCTTTGGATAGAGCAGAGTGGGCAGAATTAGGCCGACTTTCCGACTTGTCCGAGACAGTGCTAGAAGACTGCAGGCCTCCCTCCACCGTGGGGCTGGGGCTGTCCCTGTCACACCCCAGCCATAGAGACCATCCAGATAGAGAACTACGCAGGCGAGCCAGCTCCCAGGAGAGAGAGAGAAGAACAGAGAGCTGGGCGAGTCATGCCTTGTTTCTCCTTCCAAGTTCATCAAGCCAGTAATCGAAGGCATGGAGAGAGACACCGAGGGTGTTATGCCAGTGGGCCTCTCCCTTCTTGGAAGGAAACATCAGGAGGGGGAATGAAATGTCCCCCACTAAGATGCGATGAGCCACAGGCTGGGAAAAGCCTACTTGAATCCCTGACTCACTGCTTGGGAGAAAGCCGCCCCGACAGCTCCCCAGCCTGCAGCAGACTTGGTGTGAGCCACAGACAGACTTCCAAGTGTTTAGCCACTGAGATCTTACAGTTTGTTTGTTGCTGTGTCATAGCTGAAACCACAGGAGAAGTCGTTTTCTCGCCCACATCCCATTCTCTAGCCCACCTATGGCTCCCACAGCCCCAGCCGCTTGCGAACTCAATCTTTCCATCTCCTCCCCTGAAACAAATCTGAAAACTCCTTTTGAGATTTTTATGTTGACTCAGTGATGGACTTTTTAGTTCTAGGAAGGATGGTGAGACGAAGGGGGAGGGCGGCCCAGAACACGGGGTGATTAAGACCATCTTCCATCAGAAGTGGGATGAAACAGACATATATTTTAAAATCTTTGCAAAATCTTTGAAAACTAAATGTAGTAATGGGGTACCTTGGATTGGATCCCAAAATAGGGAAAGGATATGAGTGGATAAACTAGTGAAATCCTGATAAAGTCTGGAGTTTCCTTAATAGTAATGTACAGAGGTTAACTGCATCGTTGCAACAAATGTATCAGGTTATGCAAGATGTTAACATTAGGGGAAACGCAGTGAAGGATGTTCAGGTATTTTCTATACTATCTTCCCAACTTTTCTGTAAATCTAAAGTTGTTTCACAATAGAAGTTTTTCTTTTTTCTTTTTCTTTCTTTCTTTCTTTTATTTTTTTAAGCAATCAGTGACGAGTGAACATGAGTGTGAGGGGTTACCAGGCTGAGGTCTGCAAAGAGAAACCCAGAAAGAGGAGCTGAGTGTGCAAGGTGCTTTTGTCCTTGAGAATATGTACTGATTCAGAAGCAGCCTCAGAGGGGATAAGCTAGGAGTCTATGGCCCTCCGAGAGTGGGGAATGTGGTATATGTATTTTTATCACATTAGGCTGGAACCACAAAGGGCTACACTTTGGGAGAAGGATCAACTGCAAAAAAACGAGGCCACTGTGGACTTTCCACTCAGCCTCCTACCATTTAGGTTCTCCGAAAGCTTCAAGCTTTAAACTTGAATTTGAAATGGTCCTGTTCGGGGCGCCTGGGTGGCTCAGTGGGTTAAACCTCTGCCTTTGGCTCAGGTCATGATCTCAGGGTCCTGGGATCCAGCCCCACGTTGGACTCTCTGCTCAGCAGGGAGCCTGCTTCCCCGTGTCTCTCTCTCTCTCTGCCTGCCTCTCTGCCTACTTGTGATCTCTCTTTTTGTCAAATAAATAAATAAAATATTTTAAAAATATAAAAATAAATAAAAATAAAATGGTCCTGCTCTGGAGCGCCTGGGTGGTTCAGTGTATTGAAGTCTCTGCCTTCGGCT